AAGGCCGGGCAGGGCGGTGCCGAAAGGACAAGGTGCCGGGATTGGTCAACACTGTGACCTTCATCTGCACAGGATTCTTTCACTGGGATATTTAATCCACTGGCCAGGAAATAAAAGTCCTCTTCAAACTGACAAATCCTGTAGATTGGGATTTCTCCAGACACTAAGGTCATGAAGACGGGCTGGACCATCTTAATTCCCCGACAAATTGTTTAATGAAAACCATACATTTTGCCTCTGAATGTAAAGCTACTTCCTGCCTGAGAGCCTGACCTTCTAGAAGCACAGAAAATACTAGAAAGAGGTTGCACAAGAGTGGATGGAAAAATTGTTCCACCTGAGGATGAGCTTGCTGGACAGATCCTACAGAGATGTCCAGGGACCTCAGGGTGATCTGAAGTCGAAGGAGGGCAGCCCTTTCCTTACATTGTCACCTGAACGATGACATCCAAACTCTGCAGAGGGTCAGGGCCACCTTCTGGGCCACCTTACACAACTCACTGTGGGCCCTGAGCACTGGCTGAGGTCTCTGAGGAAGGACCACCTCAGTTGTCCCCTCCTTTTGGTCCACAGAACCAGTGACACTGCCCCACCTCACAGCCAGCAACACCAGGGTGGCAGAAGGGGACTCTGTGCAGTTGACCTGCGTCCCAACTGACACTGAAATCTCCATCCAGTGGCTCTTCAATAACAAGATCCTGCAACTCACAGACAGGATGCAGCTGTCATCAAACAAGAGCATCCTGACCATACACCTGGTCCTAAAGATGGACGAAGGAGAGTATCAGTGTCAAGTCTCCAACCCAATCTCTTCCCAAAAGAGTAACCCCATCATTCTGACTGTGATTGGTGAGTGACCTTCTGGCCCCCTACATCTTACTTGGGGGATTTCTTTATCAGTGGTATTATCAGTGGTATTTCTTTATCGGTGGATAAAAGTGACAGGAGAAAGAATATTATTTAATGAAAACTATACACTTTGCCTCTGAATGTAAAGCTCCTTCCTGCCTGAGAGCCTGACCTTCTAGAGGCACAGAAAGTACTAGAAAGAGGTTGCACAAGAGTGGATGGAAAAATTGTTCCACCTGAGGATGAGCTTGCTGGACAGATCCTATAGAGATGTCCAGGGACTCTCAGGGGTCACTCTGGGTGATTTGAGGTTGGAAGGAGGGGTGCACTTTCTTTAAATTGTCATCTGAATGATGACACCCAAACTCTGCCGAGGGTCAGGGCCATCCTGTGGGGCACCTTACACAACTCACTGGGGCCCTGAGCACTGGCTGAGGTCTCTGGGGAAGGAGCACCTCAGGTCTGCAGCTGAAGCTCCTTCCACAGAGGGGGACAGGGCAGCAGCAGGGACCATGCAGCCCCCTCAGCCTGTCCCTGCAAAGGGGCATCTCCTTGCAGGGGATCCTCCTGGCAGGTAAGAGGGGACAGTTCCTTGAAAGAAGGTGGGAGGTAGAGGGGGAGCACAGTCTTGCTGGTGCCCCCTGGGGAGGACACAACCCTCACAGGGGACACAGGCTTCACATGGAACCTGATGGGAACAGAACACTGAAGAGAAGCTCACCAACAGGAAACTCTCAGTGACCTGGAGCTGATGAAGGGGGACGGAAAGCTCAGGGGTTCTCTTTACCAAGTTACTCACGAGGGGCACTATATTTTGAAAATCGGTGTTAGCAGCTCTGTCAGGGCCACTCTCTAAATAGAAAGGAACTTGAGCAGTGGACACTGTCTGCAGCCACCAGCCTCAGACATTGGCACAGATACCTGGACCCTCAGGCGGGGACCTGCTTCACTCATCCACAGGAGGCTGAGCCTGGTCCAGGCCCTGGGCTACCACAAGGTCAGACTAGTCTCTGCCTCCTGGAGCTTCCTCTCTAGAGGGCAGGAGGCCAGGCCAGAGGGAGATCTGCAGGTGAGGCCAGGTGCTGTGTAGATCTAGGAGGGCAGAGAGCAGGGAAATGTCCACAGGGAAGACCTGGGTCTGAAAGGAGGTGGTCAGGGGAAGCAGGTGCCCAGGTGCCCTGGGTGTGAGCAGGGATCTGAGGGCTCTGAGGGGCCAGCCTTGCAGACCCCTGGGGAAAGGTGTTCCTAGGAGAGGATGACAGGTACAGGGGTCCTGAAGGAATGTAAATCAATCTGCGAGCCTTGACCCAGGAACACACACACCACACATCCCAAGGCTGAGGAATGTGGACTCCTGCTGAAGACCTGGGCCCCATCTTCCCACCCCATATGAAGGGCCCAGTATTGATGGATTTCTCTCTCTTCCCTCCTAGTCTCACAGTTAACCTTCTGGAACCTGCACCCCATGCCCCAGCTCACTATTGAACCAGTGCCTTTCGATGCTGCTGAAGGGACAGACGTTCTTTTCATTCTCCACAATGTGCCGGAGAATGCAATAGTCTACAACTGGTTCAAAGGAATCAATGCAGACTTCAGCCTCAAAATTATATCATACCTAGTACCCTCACAGATGACTATCCCAGGGCCTGCATTCAGTGGTGGAGAGAAAATATACTCCAACGGGTCCCTGCTGTTACAGAAAGTGACACTGAACGACACAGGATTCTACACCCTACGAACTGTAACTGCCGATGCTATGGTTGAATTCGAAACTCAAGAGTTCCATGTACATAGTAAGTGACAGCCCAAGGCCCGCTGGGTGTTGGAGGGGTTAACTCCACTGTGCACACACAGGACCCTGAGGCCTGTACTTTATGTTGGAGCATTTAGCTCAGGACACAAGCCAGTGCAGACAGACTTCAGAAGATCCGAGTCCTCTGCCTGAATCCACTGGCAGAGAGCAGGGTGGTCTGGTGGGAGACTCGGCCCAGGCAGAGCAGTCTCAGCCCAGCCCCTGTGTCCTTCCCAGGAGCATGGCCCTGAGAAAGACCCTGCAGGACTGAGTCAGGCCTGGCCTGAGGGCCCTGGAGTCCTCACAGAGAAGGTCAGCCCAGGAAGCTCCTGCCCCAGACCTCTG